CCCCAAAACCCCAAAACCCCAAAACCCCAAAACCCCGTGTGGTTTGGAAGAGATTGGATTATTTAGGTTATAGTTGAGGGCGTTTGGAGAAGGGTACATCAATGTAGTGCAGCTGTTCTCTGGTGGAATTAGTGTCTTTTGGCTTTAGTAAGGAATTTGAGATCATTAAGTTCCCACAGTCGTTGACACTTTTGTTGAGGAATGACTTATACTTGCTACTCATCCCACTTTCTGCTCTGGTAGGGAGTTGACTTTTTGTGTTTGGAGATTTATTTTTCTTAATATCCTGTCACATTCCGACTATCCCTTCTTTGTCAATTGATTTGAAAGCGTAGAAGTTCATTTTGGCAATTCTCTCCATTTCAATATTCTCATCCATCTGTTGGTCATCTTCACTTCCGGTAGAATCTCCTGGAGGATTGTCCTGGAGTCCTTCATCAATAGTCAGCGTCATCATTTCATTACTGGTTTCTTTAAGACTTTCTTCTCATGGATGTAAGAGGTTGCTCTCCTCGTCGTCCTCCTCTTGAAGACTCTGCTTTACTCAGTATTGGAATTTATTCTGGCTCTCTCAGGATTCGAAGATAGAATTACCTGAGGTCAACAAACGGTCAACTTCATCTCTTTGTATTGGGGATACCTTCCTCTTCATTAATTTATTCAGACCCATAAGATGAGATGAGATTACAGGGCCTCGACTACTAAAAGATCTCTGGCCGAACATTTCATTATGCTTAGGTTTAGAGTTATGTCTCTTGTTCATGTCATTTGAGAATATTTCTGCCTGGGTCTCTGTGTTGTACAAACTTTGATCAATTGAATATTGACCCTTTAGATTATTTTGATGGAAGCCTAAACAGTGGGATATATAATACTTACAGGCTTGCTTCTTCCTTGTTGTACTATGTTGACCTCTCTTACGATCATTATTACAACCGTTATATTCGGTTAAGACGTTATTTCCCAAGTGATGATTATCTCTGGACTGAAGAGTAGTATCAATGTATTCGTTCTCATACTCATTTGTGCATTCTAACTGTCCATAATCTCCTGGATTAGTGAAGCCAATGTCTGATTTAGAGTTGCCCCTTGCATGCCTAGCCTTGGCCTCATGCATTGATAGGAAGGAGGAGACCGCATTTGAGACATGGTTCATTAATTCATTCTCCATTGATTGTCTAACTGGGTCTCAGTTATGCGTACAAGAATTTCCAAACTGTTGAGGAGTAGCTTGACTAGAGGTAGTATTATAATTACTCCTCATAATTTGTTGGTCTTGGTAAAGTTCAGAGCAATTGCAAGATTTACTCTCTGCTAGTTTCTTCCTAGCTATTTGATTTTGGGTGCTTCCACATCTCCCAAGCTTATTCCTTGAGCTATTTTGTGTGACTGACCGATCATTCTTGGGGACATAGTTTGAACTTATATCTTCATCACTTGTCATAATGTTCGTTATTTCTGAAATTCTATGATTCTTGTCTTCATGTAATCCAAGGTTTAGGAGACTTCCACTTTTGTTAATATCAAGAGTCTCCCTCCTCCCAAATGCATTGCCAACTCTTGACTCGATTAAAGCACGATTAGAGAGGACTTTCTTCATCTTTGGACTTTTACAAGCATGGCTGAGCTTTCGGTTGCCGAATAATTTCTTGGTCTCAAATGCATTCTTGACACCTCTGGACATATGACTCCCAAGACGGTTCTTCTTCTTAGAAGATGTCATCTTCTTGTCAACCTTGATTAGCTTATTAAGCCTGTGCTTCAACTCATTGATTTCTTTATTAAGAGACTGGATTTTATGAGAGAGCATTGTATTGTCACTTTTTAGCTTTTTCTCGTTGATCTTCTGGTTAGCAATAAGTCCCTTCTGCTTCTCTAACTTTTTCTTCAACTTTTCGTATTCTTCAAGACTAACTTTGCCACATCGTAGGTTGTTCTTTATGTTTTTAATTGGCAAGAAATTAGCTTTATTTTTAGATTTAGAATGGGTCGCTACATCACATATTTCAAGGGAAGTCATCCTTTCCTTGCCTTTGCTGTTCTCTTTGGTGTTTAGCCGGCCACTACGATGAGTTCCATAATCATTGGCACAGCTGGTGTTGAGCCCTGTGAGAGCACTGGAGAGATCAATCTCACAAACTTCTGGAAAGACTGCTTTATTCTCTAGTTCTTTGATCCGATCAAGTAATTTCTTTGTCTCTTCCTTGTGGATTTGCTTGATATCAGAAATTTGATTTTCATAGTCATTTTTAAGATTTTTGATATGTTTCCCATGGTCTTCTTTCAGCTTGATAATCTTGAGGAAGCTGTCCTCGTTCTTACCACTTTTAATACAATTTAATATCTCCTCTAACTTCACAGTCGATTCAGAGTACTTGCTCATTAAGACCTGGGCTTCTTCGCTCTGGCCTGTCTTATTCGAAGCGAGTTTATTTAAGCAACTCCTCATTATAGGAACGGTCATTTTTAGATTTGAGAGCTCCTAACATCATTTCGTACATCTTTCACTGGCTATTTTTCTCTTTCTGTCACTTCGGCTAGCTCAATTTTCATCAGTTTGACTTTTTGCTCTAGAAGGGCTTTCTCTTTATCAAAATTAGCCTCGCTTGTACGTAACTTAGATTGGAGGGCGGTAATCTGACTTTGTCCGTTCATTTTTGCTGCTAAATTTACAAAATAATTTTTAACTAACTGCTAATTTTCAACAGTCTATTTTTTAAGAGGGGTTTTGGGGTTTTGGGGTTTTGGGGTTTTGGGG